GTCATGATCTCGGGGTCCTGGGATCGAGGCCCGCGTCGGGCTCCCTGCTCAGCCCTCTCCCACTGCCTCTACCCCTGCTTATGCTCTCTCTGTCTCTTTCTCTCTCTCTCAAATGAATAAAAAAAAAAATCTTAAAAAAAAAAAAAGATTGCTTGCACAAATGAAGAAGGATACGTGGACCAAGATGGCACTGCAACATTATTTGTGATGGTGGGAAATGGCAACCTCAATGTCCATCACTAGGGGATTCCATAAATCAATTCTGGTACGCCCATGTAATAGAATACAAGGCAGGTCTTTTTTAAATGAAGTAGATCTATATGTAATGACTTGGGAGAATATACATGATATATCATTATAGGGCCAGGGATAAGTCAAAAAAGCAGGCTGGTTGGTTTTTTTTTTTTAATTTGATTTATTTATTTGACAAAGAGAGAGAACACGAGCAGGGGGAGGGGCAGAGGGAGAAGCAGGCTTCCTGCCAAGCAGGGAGCCCGATGCGGGGCTCCATCCCAGGACCCTGGGATCATGACCCGAGCCTAAGGCAGATGCTTAACCATCTGAGCCACCCAGGCATCCCCAGGCTGGTTTTTTTTAAAGGTATAGTTTTCTATAAAATAGCCAACATTTCAAGTGTGCTAAGCACCTTACATGTATTATTTACTCCTCACAACAACATTATGAAATAGGTATTGTTATCATCTTCACTTTACAGATGAGGAAACAGTTAAATCATAACTTGCTCAATGAATACAGACATGTGACTTTGAGCACATGTGCTTAGTCACTACTATATCCAGGAATCAATTCTCCCTTTAATTGGACTTGTTTAAGTTGGGGGTTTTCCACTTTCGACCAAGAAAATCCTAATAAACAATCCAAATATAGCTGAATAGAGACCAGATAAATAATAGCACAATAATATAATGGAATACTATGTAGCTTTTAAAAAAAAGAAACTACGGGGCACCTGGGTGGCTCAGTTGGTTGAGCGTCTGCCTTCAGCTCAGGTCATATCTTGGGTCTCAGGGTCCTGAGATCGAGCCCCACATCAGGCTCCCTGCTCAGCAGGGAGTCTGCTTCTCCCTCTCCTCCCTCCCCACCACTCGTGCTCACTCTCTTGCTCTCTCAATAGATAAAATCTTAAAAAAAAAAATAAAAAGAAACTACATATATTAATATAAAAATAAACCTAATATTAGAAAGAAAAGCAAGTTTATAGACGATATATATAAGTATATATATGTTTTAAGATAATAGACAAAAGTTTATACAAAAAAGGTTGGAAGTATTAACAGTTAAATGTCATAAAAACAATACTAAAGCAAAATTCTTTTAATACATATTTACACTTGTGAATCTCTTTTGGAATATCATTATTATTAATTCTTTCTGACTATAAAAGCCTTCCATTTCATTGTTGTAGGAGTGGACAGGAGAAGAATGAGACTAAAACAGAGAGACCCTTTTACTTTACACGCTTCCAAATTGCTTGAATTTATTAGAAGAGTTTATGTGATAACAACCTCACTCAAACTGCTGTAAGCAAAAAAAAAAAAAAAAAAGTGTGTAGGGAGGGAATATTGAATGTGGGCCAGCTCACAAAATCCAAGGAAAAGCTGGCCAACTAAGCCTAAGCCATGGCAAGGCGGGCAACGGGAGCCCTCAGCCCTAGAACCAGAATATCAACTTTCACCAAGAGCCTCTGGGTCTTTTGTCTCCGCTTCCCTAGGCACGTTGGCCTCATGCCCTCCTACTATAGTCTTTCTCCATGGTGAGGGGTCACGACTTCCAGCAGCTTCCCCGGGCACAGCCTCTCAATCTCACCACTGAGAAGGCAACAGGCTCTTCTCCGAGGATGGACTCTGAACGGTCACAAACCCACTGCGGACCAACCCTGTGAGCAGGGTAGTGGGAATTATGACTGATCGTGACTGGTCACGTTTGGACCAGGTGCTCAGCCTTCAGCTTACCTCCAGAGTCGGGGATATGGGAACAGGTAAGGAGGCGGCAGCTCTATTCAGCCAGAAGTTGGGAGTGGAGTGGAAAAGGAGAGGGGAAGACAGAAGCAATGTTTCTTTAGGGCAGAAGGGAGAGGTGCTGGGTACACCAAATGATTAACGTGTACTACACGAGCATAAATTTCTCTCAGAAAAAATTTTTAGAGCTATTTTCATCTTGTGTATGTGTAAACATATATTTTTTTCAAGTGACAAGGATGTATGTACAACAACGTTCTCTGAAACAGTTTTATAATCATTAGAAGTTGTAAACAACCTATAGTTAACAGCTGTTGATTTTTTTTTTCCTCTTGGATTGTCTCCTTTCTTCCCTCCGGACACAATGCACCCAATGTCCCATGTCAGCTGAACCAATCCTACACCACCTTACTTCCTGTGACCACAACAACCGGCCTGAAGCGTGGATGTGTAATCTAACATGAACCAATCAGGGTCTTTGTCCAGGACAGTCATTTTCTTTTCATGTAGTACTAGTGTTGGGGCTGTGACTCTAGAAGATTTTTTTCACCTGGAGCTGGTAGAAAAGCATTATTTCCTGTCAGGTCAGGAAGCTGCCAAGATAGAATCTGGAACTTCCAATTTTGTCTCTTACACAGGAGGTGAAGCCAGCCTAAGAATGAAGCTGTTTATGCCAAAACAAACAGAGATGAGGGGCGCCTGGGTGGCTCAGTTGGCTGAGGGTCTGCCTTGGGCTCAGGTCATGGTCCCAGGGTTCTGGGATCGAGTCCTGCATCGGGCTCCTTGCTCAGCGGGGAGTCTGTTTCTCCCTCTCCCTCTACCCCTCCACCTTGCTTAAGCTCTGTCTCTCTGTCTGTCTCTCTCTCTCTCAAATAAATAAATAAATAAATCTTTTAAAAAATTACAAAAAAGAAAATAAAACAAAACAAAAAACCCAGAAATGAGACATGAGGACATGGGGACTCATGATGCATTAGAGTCCCCAGTTGCCTCTGAGGCAAGTAAATAATAAATCTAGCCTCTGACGCTAACACTACCCCTGCTCTTCTGCAAATAGGACTACATGGGCCAATTAACTCCCTCTTTAGCTTAAGGCTGTTTGAGCTGGGATTCTTCCAGCTTCAACCAAGAGAATCCTAATAAACAACCTGATAGAGATCAATAGAGGCTGGAAAACTTATGGCACAATAATAAAATACTATGTAGCTTTTGAAAAGAACAATCTATATTAACATTTTTTTAAAGATTTATTTATTTGAGAGAGAGAGAGAATGAGAGATAGAGAGAGAGAGAGAGAATGCACGAGAGGGAGAAGCAGACTCCCTGCTGAGCAGGGAGCCCGATGTGGAACTCGATCCCGGGACTCCAGGATCATGACCTGAGCCGAAGGCAGTCGCTTAACCACTGAGCCACCCAGGCACCCTCTATATTAACATTTAAAACATCTAATATAAGGAGAAAAGCGAGTTTATAGGACAGGAATATGTGTGTATACGTGTGTGTGTGTGTGTGTCTGTGTTTCTGTGTGTCTATATGATTTGATATACACACACATACTTAGGGAGAGTGAAAAGGACACAATGTTCCAAAAGGTTAATACTGGTTACCTCTGGAGGCTTGTATGGGCATGACTTTCACTTTTTAAATATACTTGTGCATTTCTTAATTTTCTAAAGAGTATATACTACTTTTACAAAATGAAAATTTTAAGCCAAAAATAACTACAGAACATGAATTGTAGCCCATGTATGTTATACAACTTTCCGCTTTATTGCTTCTGTTCCATCTAAGAAACAGAGGACTGGGAATTTGGAGACCCAGCCTTCTAGTCCAGACTTTCACTGTGTTCTATAACCTTGGGCAAGGTGGTCTGCCTCTGTGGGCCTCAGTTTCTTTCTAAGAGGGATATTGGAAATAACAGCAGCTACTATTTCAGTGGTTTCTATGTCCAAGCACTGTGCTAAATAGTTTCCTCTCAACAGCTCCCTGAGCTGAGCATTACCCCATTTTCCATATATGAAAACCAAAGCACAAGTGTTAGAATCAGAATTCAAACTCAGGTTTAGCTGATCCCAAAGCCATATTCTTTCCACTACACACTCTCTCAGCCACCTCTTGCCTCGTGGCTCATGGTTTCCTGGTGCTAGAAGCTAGCACTTAGAACCCAGGACTTGACCAAAATCCTCCACCTGGAAACATCATTCTAAAGTAATCTCCCATCACCTTTATCACTGCTAACGTTTTTTTTCTTTTTAATTTTATTTATTTATTTGACAAAGAGAGACACAGCGAGAGAGGGAACACAAGCAGGGGCATTGGATGAGGGAGAAGCCCCGATGCGGGGCTCGATCCCAGGAACCCGGGATCATGACCTGAGCCGAAGGCAGACGCCCAACGACTGAGCCACCCAGGTGCCCTATCACTGCTAACGTTTATTCTTATGTTGTATCAAACTGGAAAACAGGATGTTGCAACCTCAGTACTACTGATATTTTGGACTGAAAAATTCTTTGTTGTTGGGAGCTGTCCTGGGTGCTGTAGGATGTTGGCAACATCTCTGGCATCTACCCACTAGATGTCAGTGGTGCCCACCCTTCAACTGTGACATCAGAAATGCCTCCAGACACAGTGCCAGATGTCCCCTGGTGGGGAAATTGCCCCGGAGTTGAGAACCCTGTTCTAAAAGAAGGAAAAAGCCAAGTACCTGCATTAACCCTGATGGGAAACTATTGAAAGAAAACACTGAATCTAGGAACTATTTCTACCCACCTGATTCTGTGACTTTACCAGCTCGTGTTACAATCTCACGCTCCAAGTATCTCGTGGGTGTGTGCCCTGTGCAGAACACTGTCCCAGGTACCTATACATTAACTATGAAAGATGTGCAGGAAAGGGGAAGGAGAATAAATCTTGCCCTCTCAATAATGACTCCACTTCGCCATTATGAAATTCACCTTTGCCTGAGAGAAGAGCCACCAGGAGCCTGCTGAGTAAGAACAGGTATTCAACAGAGAACAGCACTACTTGAAGACAATGCTGATTTTATTCCAGCTAAATAAAGCAATGCACAAGGCACTTGGGTAATAAGCTTAACTCAAGGGGCAAAAGCCAAGAAACAAGGATTTTTTTGTGTTTGTTTTAATTATCAGTCACTGCACATAGCTCTCTTCCACACCTCCTCTCAGAAAATGTGGGCTAACAAATCCCATGCAAAGGAACATAAGGAAGAGAAAAGGGGAAATGGAATTCATCCAGCATATTGTTGAAGGTGGTTTCTCCGAGTTCTCTTCTATAAACCGCTCCATCAACACAGTCCACTCCGGATTATTTTAATATCATGACCATCTTCCCTGCAAATTGAACAACCATAAAGACACACTTCTTACCCACCATACTGAAACTGTCCCGCTCTTTGTATCAAAAAGACCCATGTCATTACACATTAGATTCCTTCTAAGGGGATGCTGACTTAATCATTTTTAGAGCTAAATCTGGTAAACAGTGAATATGAAAGCCTCAACTCTGCCATTTTTTCCCTGTGAGTGACATGAAGGGCATCAGGTGTAACACATACTACTTAGTATTCTCCTAGGCAGAATTATTAAGACTATGCCCCAACTTGTAATGAAGGCTGTACAGGTTACCTGCACATGCCCTCTGAATTTAAAAGAATATTCGAGGGACACCTGGCAGCCTCAGTCGGTGGAACATACAACTCTTGATCTCAGAGTGGTGAGTTCAAACCCCACACTGGGTATGGAGCCTACTTAAAAAAATTTTTTTAATAAAAAATATAGATAAATAAATAAATAAAAGACTATTAGATATTTCACAGAGTGTAACTATTAGATATACTCTTAATTTGGGGAAACTGCCCATCCATGGATAGTAACATAACCTGATTATCTGGTCTATAGTTGGTTAATCACAAACGCCATTCTCTAACTTTGACCTGGAAAATGCACTGATGGAGTCTGTCTTTCTAAATGTCAGTCTGAAAACAGATAATGTCACATTTGATTCTGACATTCAAGAAAAGAGATGCCATTTCCTAAGTAATCAAAAATCAAGAAAAGGACTAAAGAAAACTTGACTAGTCTATACCGTAAAATTATGATTTTACCTGATTTTCATACACAGAGTACACTCGTTGGGATAAGTGGACATGTCGCTTCCACACACGGGGTTAAAGTCTCTGGGACATCCTGGTAATTTATACTGACTGCAGTTTGGCTAGAAAAGAGAAAAGAGGACAGAAATTACAGAACTAAGACATTCTCATCACTAAATAGCTGAGGGGAAGACAAAGTCCCAAGTCTCCTAGATTTCCTAGAAACATCCTACAAAAATATTTCAATTTTCCACACACAAAATGATTTTTCTAATGCAAAAACCAGATGCAACATTGAAGCAATGATTTAATACCTACTATGTAAGAAAAGGACCTCAGTCTGGCTGATTTTTATTTATTATTTTTAATTTTATTTTACTTGTTTAGAAAGGGAGAGGAGATAGAAGGGGGAGAGGTAGAGAGAGACAGAGAAAATCTCAAGCAGACTCCACACCCAGAGCAGTGCCCGATGCAGGACTCGATCTCACGACCCTGAGATCATGACCTGAGCCAAAATCAAAAGTCAGACGCCCAACTGACTGAGCCACCCAAGTGCCCCAGTCTGGCTGATTTTTAAATGAAAGCCCAAGACAGGCCACCATACCCACTTTCCAATCCTCTAGCTTTGTAATTTGCACTCTACTACTATCTCCACATTAATGTTGTTACATTCCACCTTAGTCCCTTGACATAACGTCAAGACAAACTCAGGAATCTAATCTTTTATTCTGGACCTTTAAGATACTGGCATGTAACCAACAGCACCCAAAGAAAGCAACAGGTTCATAACTGGACATTCCTTAGGGGTTGTTATGGGTTGAATTGTACCCACTCAAAAAGTGATGTTAAAGTCATAACCACCAGTACCTCAGAAAGTGACTTATTGGACATAGGGTCTTTATATATAAGGAATCGAGTTAAAATGAGCTCAGTAGAATGGACCCTAATCCAGTATGACTGGTGTCCTTATAAAAAGGGAAAATTTGGACATAGAGTCACAAACAGAGGGAAGATCACGTGAAGGCACAGAGAATGCCATTTACAAGCCAAGGAACCCTTGGGACTACCAGAACCTAGGAGAAAGGCATGGAACAGATTCTCCCCGCCGCCTCCCCCCGCACCGGCCCTCAGGAGGAAACAATTCTACCAACACTTTGATGTAGGACTGTTAGCCTCCAGAACCGGAGGACAATCAATTTCTGCTGTTTAAGCCCCCCAGTTTGTGGTGCTTTATGACAGCAGCCCCAAGAAATTGATGGGGGTCATGGCACTCAATCCTGTGATTAGATGGATTTGAGGCCAGACAGATAATATATCTTGCTCATAGCTGCTCATCTCCAGCAGGGCCAGGACTAGACGTGGTCACAGTGATCAGACTACGGTGTGCAGAGTCTCACTTTAACAAAGGTCAAATATATGGCCCGCTACCTTTCTGTTTTATATACTCACATTTATATATATATACTTGTTTTAATAAATGGTGATCACTTTTCCTCACTTCAGAATAAAAGAGTCACCCTGTTTCAGCACTGAATAAATGCAATACATGTTTCTATTGATATTATCTGGATTTATAAAGACCTAAACAGTACTGGCCAGGGGCCAACCTCTAAAGTACAAGAGGTTTTGTTGACCCTTTCCATCCTCCATTCAGCCCTCATTTTGGAGCTTGATGTGCTCCCCAGGGCTCAGCAAGATGATGCCTTGTAGGGCCGCTCTCACAGGCCACATTGTAGGATGGCAGCACCATGCGCTCCTATTTTAAGTCTTTGTTACTTGCAGTCAAATCTAGTCCTAACTGATACAAGAGACAGGACCTCTCCTTTGAATGTTTCAACTGCAGCTGACCCTTGAACAACATGGGTTTAAATGTATTTTCTCTTCCTTATGATTTTCTTAATAACATTTTCTTTTCTTTAACTTATAAGAATACAGATGAGAGTGTAACACAACAGAAAATGTGTATTAATCAACTTTTTTTTATTTTTTTGTGGAGAAGGAGAGAGAGGGAGGAGTGCAGGAGGGGCAGAGGGAGAGAGAGAATCTTAAGCAGACTCCACACCCAGGTCAGAGCCCAACTCAGGACTTGATCTCATGACCCTGAGATCACGACCTGAGCCGAAATCAAGAATCAGATGATTAACCAACTGAGCCACCCAGGTGCCTCTAATCAACTCTTTATGTTATCAGTAAGGCTTCTGGTGAACAGTAGGCTATGAGCAGTTAAATTTTAGAATCAAAAGTTACACTCAGATTTTTGACTATGGGAGGGGGGATCAGTACTCCCTAACCCCCCACATTATTCAAGGGTCAACTGTAATTAAGAGTTCTTTGTGCTATCACTACAAAAATGATACCCATAATAAGTCCACACATAATAAGTCCATGATCTCCTGTTTTGATTTCTTTAAAACAGGATTTCTCAACCATAATTCACATTCTGGACCAGATAATTCTTTGGGTGGGAGGTTATCCTGTGTGTTGTAGGATGTTCTCTATCCACTAGATGCCAGTGTCATCTCCCCACTCATGAGAATCAAAAATAAATGTCTGCTAGAGGGCAAAACTGCCCACCGCTGAGAATCACTATTTTAAAATACAGTGAAAATTTAAGGGACACCTGGCTGTCTCCGTCGGTAAAGGATGTGACTCGATCTTGGAGTTGTAGATTCGAGCCCCACATTGGATGTAGAAATTATTTAAAGATAAAATCTTAAAAAAATACAGTGAGAATTTAAAACAATGTAATATACAATTTTTTTAATCTTGCCCCAATTATTTATAGTTGTTTCACCTACATCAAATTCAACAGCAATTTTTTTTAGCAATTTGTCTTTTAGCAAGTCTTTCAAAAGCATTCAATTCAGTCCTCATATAAACTATGACTTTATTTCTTTACACTCATGTTTATGTTGTCCTTACATTTTTGGTTAAAATAAGGCTGGTAACTGCCATAACAGGCTTGTGAACTCACACACTTAAGTCTTGGTAGGAATACAACTACACCGATGGGAAAAAGTCTACTGGCATACAAGAGAGTAGGCTATCTATAGCCAGTAAAGTGATCATTATGCTGTGGGGATTGTTCAGAGAGAAAGGAGAGGGTCATCTGTGAGTTGCTTAAGTGGAAGGTGTTCAGTGAATGTTTAGTGTTAACAACTAGCCCCGGTGGACCCACAGAGGGCTACCTGTGCACGTCACCTCAGAAGCTTGATAAAAACACTGATTTAGTGCCATTTGCAATGACAAGGATGGAGCTAGAGAGCTAAGCAAAAGAAGTCAGAGAAAGACAAATACCATATGATTTCACTCGTATGTGGAAATTAAGAAACAAAACAAACAAGCAAAGGGAAAACAAAACTGAGAGGGAGGCAAACCAAGAAACAGACTCAACTATAGAGAACAATCTGATGGTTACCAGAGGGGATGTGTGTGGTGGGGCGGAATGGGAGAAATAGGTGATGGGGATTAAGGAGAGCATTTGTTGTGATGAGCACCAGGTGATGTATGGAAGTGTTGAATCACTATATTGTACACCTGAAAGTAATATTACACTGTAGGTTAACTAACTGGAATTTAAATAAAAACTTTTAAAAAACTTAAAACAAAACAAGAAAACACTGATTTGGGGCCTCATGCCAGACCTACTCAGTTAGAATCTCCAGGGTTAGAATCCATGTGTCTAGAGGCCCCTGAATTCTGATTCAGCTAGGACTGGGTTTAGGAACTGCTGTTCCCAATCATCTTGACATCCAGTCCACTTAGACTATGTATGGAACCTAAGGAGAATACACTGAGACACACAATTTGGCACACAATTTCAGGGAACCCCAGCTCTAGACCTTTCTTGCCTCCCCATTTTTAACCAAAACATATCTTGCCTATGCCCACTCTGACTGACTAGATAAACAACTAATCAAAATCAATCTATTTAGCCTGCAGGTCTTAAGGTTTTTTATATTCAACAGAAGTTTTCAAATGCTTTCATCCCAAAGAATGACTAATATATGGATTTTGAGGAGGACTAACAGGCTGGTAAGGAAGTTTTGTTTGTTTTGTTGTTTAAGCAGAAGACTTTGATGTCTCTCAGATCCCCAAGGGATCTACCCAGCTGGAAGACAATGTTGGTATTCCAGGCTGTTTCCAGTCTAATTCTCATGATTTCAAAGCTAGCTTTGGCTATCCACCATTTAACTTTATTAAATTCAGGTTACTCACTTCCTGGATTTACTCTGAGCTGAGACATGAGGCTTTATGAACAAATACTTTTCACTCTTATCAATGAGGTCAAATAATTTCATTAATAAATTATGCCCCCACTAACCTTAGTTTTATAATAAAAAATTATATATATATATATATATATAAAATCATGGTAGACTCCTCAGAGCTTTAGAAGACACTCTCATTCTGGAAGAGGGCCACATCACATTTTTTTTTAAGATTATTTATTTATTTATTTATTTGTCAGAGAGAGACAAGCAGGGGAAGCAGCAGGCAGAGGGAGAAGCAGGCTCCCCACTGAGCAACGACACCAATATGGTGTCGAGTACCAATATGGTACTCGATCCCAGGACGTCAGGATCATGGCCTGAGTCGAAGGCAGACGCTTAACCAACCGAGCCACCCAGGCATCCCAGTCACATCACATTTTTACTTATTCCTTAGAATCAATTTAATTTTTGTAGAAGGATGTGATATGCTTCTAAGTAATTCTCTGAGCTTTATACTCTGAATCTTTTCTTTTGAAAGGTTCTCAAATCCTTTACCAGATACATTCCCTCATTTGTTTATTCAATAAATGAAAAAGATTTTAAGATAGATGTTAGAGAAGTACAAAGACAAATTGAGTCCTGCCTGTAAGAACTTCAGTGTATAAGGTGCCTGGGTGACTCAGTTGGTTAAGTGACTGCCTTCCGCTCAGGTCATGATCCTGGAGTCCCAGGATCGAGTCCCACATTGGGCTCCCTGCTCAGCAGGGAGTCTGCTTCTCCCTCTGACCCTCCCCTCCTCATGTGCTTTCTCTCTCTCAAATAAATAAATAAAATCTTTTTTAAAAAAAGTTCAGTTTATAGTAAGAAAATCAAAAATACACATGGAAAAAAATAAAATAATTAAAAAAAGAAATATACATGGTGGTAGATAGAATTTAGATTAGAGGTTTGAGAGAATGTCTACCTCAAGGAAATAAAGCAGACTAACCAAAGGCACAGTGGTGAGGGAAGTGTTTGACCTGAGAGCAAAGCAGTTTAATTTAAAGGAGCTTCCAACACTCTTTCATAATAAAAATACTCAACGAACTAAGCAGAAAAGAGAACTTCCTCAACCTGATAAAGAACATCTATAAAACCCCCACAGCTAACATTATACTTAATGGTGAAAGACTGAATGCTTTTCCTCCGAATTAGGAATAAGACAAGGATGTCCATATTCATTTGTTCAAGATGGCATAGAATATTCTAGCAAAGACAATTAGGCAATAAAATAAATAAAAGGCAACAGATTGGAAAGGAAGAAATAAAACTATTTCTGGTTTATCTAAAATTTCTCTTTATATAGACAGGTCTGAGGAATACAAAAGGAACTATTACAACCAAAAAACAAGTCCAACAAGGCTGCAGGATACAAGATCAATATACAAAAATCAATTACATTTCTATACACTTGAAGTGAAACATCTGAAAATGAAATTAAGAAAAAAGATCCATTTGTAACAGCATTAAAAAGAATAAAATATTTAGGAATATATTTAACAAAAGAAGTATAAGAATTAAACACCAAAAACTAAAACATTGTTGAAAGAAATTAAAGACCTAAATAAGTGAAAAGGCATCCCATATTCATGGATCAAAAGATTTAACTTTCTTAAGATAGCAATACTCCCTAAATGGTTCTACAGGTTCAATGCAATCCCTATCAAAAATCCCAACTGCCTTTTTTGCAGCAGAAATTGGCAAATTGATCTTTAAATTCATATGGAAAGGCAAGTGACCCTGAAAAGCCAAGACAATCTTGAAGAAAAAGTTGGAGGATTCACACTTTCCCATTTTGAAACTTACTACAAAACTACAGTAATTAAAACAGTGTGGCACTAACATCTGAAACTAATATAACACGGTATGTTAACTACTCTGGAATTAAAATAAAAACAAAACAAAATAGGGGCGCTTGGGTGGCTCAGTCAGTTGAGCATCCAACTCTTGGTTTCGGCTTAGGTCATGATCTCAGAGTTGTGAGATGGAGCCCCACATTGGGCTCCCCACTCAACAGGGAGTCTGCTTTCCCTCTCTCTCTCCGCCTGCCCCTCCCTGCACCATGCCCTCTCTTTCTCTCTAAAATGAATAAATAGGCATGCCTGGGTGGCTCAGTCGGTTAAGTGGTTAAGTGTCTGCCTTCAGGTCAGGTCATGATCCCAGGGTCCTGGGATTGAGTCCCGCATCCAGCTCCTTGCTCAGCAGGGAGCCTACTTCTCCCTCGGACTGCCGCTTCCCCTGCTCGCGCGCTTGCTCTCTTTCTTTCCTTCTCTCTCTCTCTCTCTGACAAATAAGTAAATAAAATCTTTAAAATGAATAAATCTTAAAAAATAATAAAATAATAAAACAAAAAACAGTGTGGCAGTAGCATAAGAATAGAAGAGCACAAGCTATGGGAAAGCAGTGGAAGGTACAGGCAGAAAGATAAGCTGCAGCAAGGACACTCTGTGAACATTATTATCTAGATAATGTTCATAAAATGTCTAGTACAAGACATAACCATTAGACCAAGGACCTTTTGAATCATCAAAGAAACTATTAAAGGAAACAAAGTGCTTAGGCCTTCAAGGACTGAGCTATTTTCAACCAAAATTTACAATTTTGATCTGCATCAAAAGGTCTGCCTTAGAATCTGATTTCTGAAGAGACAGTCAACAGTTTCAAAAGTGGCAGGTCAAAAAAAAAGAAGTGAGGCCAGACCTGAAAACCAGCCCCAACCCATACCGTTTGGACTTCACTATATTAGTGGAAACAATGCAGGTGGTTTCCTACTTACTGTTCTGTATTCTGAAGGTTGGTCAAAGTCAGAGCTCAAAGAGTCCAAAGAGACTGCAAGAAGAAAACAGACATTAAAGTATATGATTAAGACCAATTCTTATTCATAAGGAGCTTTTAAAATCCAGCTTGTGATTTATCCCGGCCACACCCTCTCCCGTTCTCTCAGATGCCTAGCTTTTTTGATCAGCCCCCATTGCCCAGCCCCACGCCCCCAAAGAAGGGTACTGTTTTCTGGCACCTCTCCTGGCAGACACACAGAAGGAACATTTCGTCCAGGTTCTGTAATTGACCACCCTAACAGGCTTGCTTGAGAAAGAACTTCGGAGCTATGGAATAAAAGAGAAGGAACTCTTAATAATTCACGATATTCTCCTCTGTGGCTCAGGGTAACAAACGCAAAACTTAACGTTAGGTGCTACCATTTTAACTCCATTTTCGAGTGGGCGTCAAATCTGGCTGGACTAAAGCCCCTTTCTCATAAGCCTCAGCGTGCCTGACGCGCTTGGCATTCACAAGCCCTATTCCTGTTCATCTCCTGCAGAGGTTCGGTAGGGCCACCGTGTCCATAAAAAACCAACTTCTGATCTTGGGCTCCAGAAAATCTGCTTCAAGGGAGAAAGAGCACACAGCAGGGTGCCGCTACGAAGGAGCCGAGAGCCAAGGCCAAGCAAGAAGGAAAGAGCATCGCTGCCTCCACCGCCACCCCCTAGCCCTGCACGCCCCGCACGTTCGCGCTCCCTAGACGACCGCAGGCCGCCGCGGGAACCGCCAGTAACGGGTGCGCCGAGGGCCGCCAGGGGGCTGGGATCCGGGGGTGGGTAGCCAGGGGGCCAGTCCCACCCTCTGATACTCCTCCGCGCCACCCCCGACCCTGTCCTGGCCGCCCAGGCCCGGTGAGCGGTGAGCGTTACCCGCCAAGTCCCCGGCCAGGAGCAACAGTACCAAGCGCACGGCCAAGAGCGCCATGCTCCCTCTGTGGCCAAACGTCTCATCACCGCCCGCTCCCGCGATGCCCGACAAGCACCGCGCGCCCAGGTCAGACGGGCGACAGGCTGGCTGCGGGGAAGGGAGGAGGGAGGGGCTCCGGGGGGAGGGGCCGTTGTTACCCCCCACCTCCCATCCCGCCGAGGATGGGAGTGAGCAATTAAGGGCAAGATCTCTCCCAGCAGCAAACAGGAACCACGTGAGAACCCTGGGGAGCAACTTTGGGGGCTCTGCCCCCCAACCACTACTTCTTCAGCATCTACTCTGTCGGAGGCAGTGTTTTGGCGCTCGACTAAACAAAGGGGGTCCCTGCTCTCGGGAAGTTTTCTAGTGTAGGTGTTGGGGATGGGGTGATGCAGGAAACACCAAGTGAATCCACGCAATAATTGCTCAAATTAAGTGCTAGAGAGTGTTGGGAGAAGGGGAAGACTTTGCACGGGGAGGTGAGGAAAAGCTTTTCAGAGGTAGCATTTGAGCTAAAAACTGAAGGGTGAGAGAAAGGAAGCCCGGTGAAGAGGAGAGGCTCAAGGAAAAGCCCATGCAGAGATCCCGAAGCAGGAACCAGCTGAGGGTTTCAGCTGGAGCCCTGGTGAGGGACAGGGAAGGGGGAGGGAGGTGGAAGCCAAGGCCAGTAGCCGGTGTGGTGGTGTAGGCCGCGATAAGGAATTTGGACTTGTTGCAGAAGAAAACATCAGCATATCAAAGGTATTTGAGAATCATGGATCCAACGCCCAGTGAGAGAGTATAGCAGAGGTCCAGATCAGAGCCCTGGGGCACTCCTGGATGCGGGGGATTGACCCATGTGGAGAAGAAAGCTGTGAAGGAGGAGGAAAACCAGGCTAGAGTCTGGGGTTACGGAGCACTGGGGAGGTGATGTGAGTATGTCACTAGCTGCCCTAAGGCTGAGAATTTGGCAGACTGAGCATGGTCATGCACTTTAGCAAGATGTAGTCACTAATGGCCCTAAGAAGGACTAGTTCAGAGAAGTGATGGGGTCCAGGGCCCAAATGGCAAGGGTTGAAAGGGATGAAGTGAGAAAGTGGAGACAGAAAGTTTAGATAACTCTTGGGAGTTTTGCTATAAAAAGGAAGCCAGATATGGGCAGGAGGTAGCCTACGAGACTTCCAAAATGTCTTTTGAGGGTCACGTCAAAGCGCTCCAATGTCTTCCCACCTTGCTAGGAGTAAAAACGAAAGTCCTTCCTGTGGCCTCTGCCGGTCTCTTGCTGTTCCTGCCTGACTCACTCTTCCCAGCTACATTGGCCTCCTTGCTCCCATCCAGGGGCCTTGGCACTTGCTGTTCCCTCTGCCTAGATAGCTACATAGCTTCTTCCTTCCCGCTCCTTTTCCTTCTGTCTCTGTGCAAACAGCCCCATACCAGAAATGCCTTCCCTGACCATAAATAAAAAGTTAGCAGGGGCGCCTGGGTGGCTCAGTCTGTTAAGCATCCGACTTCAGCTCAGGTCATGATCTCGGGATCCTGGGATTGTGCCCCTTCCCCTCAGGTTCTCCACTCGGTGGGAAGCCTGCTTCTCCCTCTCCCTCTGCCCCTCGACCCGCTTGTGCTCTCTCTCTCAAATAAATAAATAAAATCTTAAAAAAAAAAAAATTTAGTACTCCCCCCTCCCCCCTTCCTATTCCCCTTACTGTCCTTTGTTTCCCCTCCCCCATGGAATTTATCTTGACTTTTTTTTTTTTTTTTTTAACTCTGTGACACTCTCCACTTGTTTAAGCTCCAAGAGGGGAGTACTTTCTTGGTTCTTTTTTGGTTTACTGGTTTATCTCCAGCACCTAGAAGAGTGCCTCACATGAATCTCAGCAGCTCAACAAGTATTAAATGAGTAAGTGAGGGATTCCTAGGGAATCAGGACCTTACCTTACCTAAAAGGACGGTCAGGATAAAACAAATCACTAGTGTGCATAAGCAGAATGGCTCTTTGGGTTGAGGAGGAGTTAAACCTTAATTCCTGGGTTTGTATGCATTCATTTTTGCAGCATTGCATAACATGGCTGTGAAGAGTTTTGCAGTTGAAGACTTGGCTCTGCAAGTCACACAAACGAGCTCTGAACCTCAGAGCTTCCACTTCCGCCTTCTCCTCATAAAATGGTAGTATAATCGTAGAATCTTGTGAGTATGAAATGAGGTAATGTACATAAATGTGCTGAGACATGGCAGAACTCAATACATTTTAGTCCCTTTCTATTTTCTCCACGATGACTTTTGTCAAGAGGGCAGTTATTCTGTTCCTAGGCAATTGGGCGTCTGCTCCTATTTCAGGTCACATTGGCCATTGTGTTGTCACAGAGCCATTGCAGCCTGGAGGCGGCAACATTGTCTGTTTCTCCCACTTGCCTATCCCTAGTGCCTAGCACTAGGCCTGACGGAAGCTCAGTAAATGTTTGCTGAATTAGTGAATCTCTGAAACGTTAAACTGACATCACAATGAGGAAATAGACCAAAAAGGGGAAGACATAGGATCCAGGAAACAAGAATTCAAACCCAAGAAAGAGTTGTTAGGGTAGATCCTAATCCAGTATGACTGGTGTCCTTATAAGAAAAGGAAATTAGGACACAAACGGAACAGAGGGATAACCTTGTGAGGATCCAGAAGACAGCTGTCTGCAGTCCGAAGAGCATGGCCCAGAAGGAAGCAAACTTGTCAACACCGTGGTCTTGGACTTCCAGCTTCTGGAACTGCAAGAAAATACATTTCTGTTGGTTAAGTCACTCAGTCTGTGGTACTTTGTTATGGCAGCCCTAGCAAACCAGTATATGAATGTGATAAAAATAAATAAGTAAATAAATACATGCATGCATCATTTTGTATTAAAAGATTTCATTTTAAGTACTTTAACAAAAGAAAGCTTATTTTGACAGAAACACATACATTAATGCTCTCTAACAATAACTCATACAATGTTGGAGAATAATATTGATTAACTGATTTTTTTTTTCTCCCTAGACAAGCACCATTTGAGATATTTGCTAATTCTGAATACAAATTTTGGTAACTATTCAGCAAATCTTAATGAGAAGTTTGGAGAAAGAGAAATAATTTTGCTAAAGAGGCACAGCAAGTTAGTGAATGGGCAGATCCATTTCTTTTCTGCTTCCTATGCCTCTGTGTCAAGTGCTGACCCTGTGAAATATTCCCTGTATCAGTCAGGGTCCAGTCTAAAAAACAGGAGCCTCACTAGGAATTCTCCCGAAGAGAATTGAACATAAGGGATCAGCCAGGCCAGTATTGGAAAACTCAAAAAAGCAGAAAGGGAACAATGAGGTAACACACAAAGATGGCAACCTCAAGCCATAGGTATCACCCCTAGGTCTGGGGAAAAAGAAGAGGTTGAGATTATCTAGAAATTTGGAGGAGGGTCTCCAGAAAGTGGAGACTCAGACCTCTGAGCAGGGATGTTGCGAGCCTAGTACTGATGGGTCTGAGGGAGCACAGTGAGGCCGTCTGAGACGTGTGACAAAGCCAGAGCCTGGAAGCAGCTGCTACAGCCAGTGGGGGGACATTTGGGGGGGGGATCCTGCTAGAAGAAATAGCCAGCATGCAGGATCAAGTCTCTCCTCGGTCCTGCCTTGCAGGGTCCCCCTAACACATCCTATTGGAAACCTCAGGAAGCCAGCTGGCAAAGCAGAAATGAATTCTAGCCTCACAGAGTCCGGAAGGGTGGTTTGTTGTTTTGTTTTGTTTTGTTTTTTGAAACCAAACATTTAATATTTTAATTAAGTTTTGTCAATACAATTTCAAGCAAGTGCCAACTGAAGACCAGGCCTAGGAATTTACAAAGGAAACAATCTCCCAAACAGCAAGGAACACCACGGTGATCTTCCACTTCGGATGCACTATCAGTGGCCACAGTGGTGCCAGTTGGCCAGTGTTTATCCGATTACCCAGTGTTTACCACATCATCAATTTTCCAGAATGCTCCGGACAGTTTCAGTTGCTAGAGTCAGTGCACTGACTGAAACCAACAAAGGCTGGACAACCAGTTCCTCCAAAATGTTGGAAATACCACCCTTTCGGACATTAATGCTGGTAGTTTTTTCTCCTTGGGCATGCTGGTTTCTTAGTTCTTAGAAGGGTGGTTTTAGAGCTGATATGCAATAACCTAATGACTGGCACAGTCTCATATCCCACCCTTTGATTTTAGCAAGCTCAAGTACTGGGATGAGAAGACAATATGCAGTTTTAAACTCCATCTGGCACCACGCCTGGCTGAGTTCTGACTAGCGTCATGTTTGAGGCCAGAGGGTACATTTGGAATGAGTTGTGTTAATATGTTTCTGAGTCACATAATGTAAGTTCTTGGAATAAAGGCCATAAAATGAAGATGGCTTATTTTGCCAAAGACTTTCATCAAGGAGTATATATGTTATATATTATACACATACACACACTCTCTCTCTCAACTTTGTTAGATTTCTATTACCAAATAAATACTTGCTTATAAACACCTTTGTCTCCGATGCTTCAGGAATACAAACTGAAATCTGAGCATAGATCAGGAACGATGCTTAGAGTTGTGTTAGTAGGAATTTCAGCTTCAAAAAGAAAGCCACCTGGGCGCCTGGGAGGCTCAGTCAGTTAAGTGCCTGCCTTCAGCTCGGGTCGTGATCCCAGAGTTCTGGGATGGAGCCCCACATCGGTCTCCTTGCTCAGCGCGGAGCCTGCTTCTCCCTCTGCCTGCCGCTCCCTCTGCTTGTGCTCTTTCTCTGACAAATAAATAAATAAAAATTAAAAATAAAAACGAAAGCCATTTACCCCTCAAGATAGATTTGTTATAAATGTATGTGTGTGGATGCTGCTGCCTTCATGTAATTTGGTTCCAAACAGTGATATTACAACTTAGAATTATTTTATGCCATGGTGTTTTCATATAGTTGTCTCAGCATTGGTAGGCAGAAACAAGAGTCAACATGTTTTGTCAAGGGCCAGAGAGTAAATACTTTAGACTTTGTGGATCAGACAGTCTGTCACAACTAGGCAGCACTGCCATTATAGTACAAAAGCAGACATAGACCATAATTCAAAGAAAGGGCGTGGCTGTGTTCCTGTAAAATAT